GGAAAGTTATCTTTTCTATGACACTTTCTTTAACTCTCCTGGGAAGACATAACCACGCCCTCCTCTGTACTCCCATAGCCCTTCCATCACACCTCAATTAGAGCCCTTTATTGCCTGTGTGTGTTAGAATTGCGTTCATGGTGGAATCTCCCCGAGCCAGTCCTGATTCAACTTCCAGACCTGGAGGTTATCTACCAACAGCACTTTCTACCCCTGCTTAGTATCAGCAGCCCAGCTGTGTGCCTCAGGGGGTGAACCCTGCTGTCTCTATCCAGTGATGGCCACTGGGTCCTGTATCCAGTGTAGAACCAACATGAAAGGTAAATCTCAATGAGACCGGAGGGGAAATGCGGGGGCAGGGGTAGTGGGGGCTTCTTAGTAAGAGAAACAGAGGAAGAACACTCTCACACAGATGCTGTTGTGGGCAGGGATGTGGCAGCCATCTTGTGACCATGAGGGAGGAAACAGAGCACAAAGTCAACATGCTGAGGAAGGCACAAAGGAAAGATGGAAAGAATCTGAATCCTTGATGACATTTGTATTGCCTCAACCCAAAGACCACCACATCTTTAGACTTCTTGTCGATTCTGAGCTGTGCCTTGTGTGATTTACAGCCAAAAGCATCCTAGTTGATTTGTCCTCTAAACCAACACTGTCCAATACAGCAGCTGCTCACCACATGTGTCTACTTAAATTTTAATTTTAATTAATTAAAACTGAACAAAATTTAAAATTCAGTGCCCCAGTGGCCCTAGCTATCTATCAAGTGCTCAATAGCCAAGTGTGGCTGGTGGTTACCGTATTAGATAGTGGAGAATGAGGGAACATTTCCACACCTCACAAAGGTGCACTGAGCAACACTGCTCTAAATGGCAAACTCCTTGAAGGCAGAAACTAGATTGTATTGCTGCCATTCCTAGTTCCTGATGGATCATCATGCCAAATAAATGAAATTACTGAGTAAAGGAGAGAATGGTCTAAGTATCATCTATTTTGAAGGAACTGGTTGTACTGGGTTCTGACTGATTTTTGCCCCAGTGATTCTTTTTTTTTTCTTTTTTTCTTTTCTTTTCTTTTTATTGAAGTATAGTTGATTTACAATGTTAGTTTCAGGTGTATAGCAAAGTGATTCAATTATACATATACATACATATATATACACATATATTTTCAGATTCTTTTCCAGTATATCCCATCACAAGAAATTGAATATTGTTTCCTGTGCTATACAGTAGGTCCTTGTTGTTTATCTATTTGATATATAGTAATGTGTATCTGTTAATCCCAAGCTCCTAATTTATCCCTCCCCTCACCCTTTTCCCCTTTGGTAACCATAGTTTGTTTTCTATGTCCATCGGTCCATTTCTAGTTTGTAAATAAAATTTGTATCTTTTTTTTAAGATTCCACATGTAAGTGATATCATATGATATTTAGCTTTCTCTATCTGACTTAACTTCACTTAATAAAATCATTTCAAAGTTCATCCATGTTGCTACAAAGAGCATTATTTCATCCTTTTTATGGCCCAGTAATACTCCATTGTATAAATATACCACAACTTCTTTATCCAGTCATCTGTTAATGGGCATTTAGGTTGTTTCCATGTCTTGGATATTGTAAATAGTGCCGCTATGAACATCTGCCTCAGTGATTCTTGAATTCACGCAGGTGACAACATCTGGGGTCATAGTCAACATCCCTACCCCTATTTACCCCAGGAACCAGTACCCTTCGCTTTTTTCACTCCAGGAATCTGATTTTCTCCAGCCACACTTACAGCCTCTCAAGCCCTCATGACCTTCTGCCTCTGAAAGATGCAGCGGCAAATAAAATAGTCATTGGGTCCAGGTTTGTTCCACTTTTCAAGGCAGGCAGGGTAGACACAAGAAGTGTGCCGGTGTAGACAGAAGCTGCTCACACACTGTCCAGACTGGACAACAGCCCAACTGAGCCTATCAAGAGTCAGAGGCTCCAGATAAAGCCCAGGTGAAGGTCAAGGTCACACATAACCCAGAACCAGCTACAGAAGCATCCTGCTGCTCCTTTAGAGTCCCTCAGTGGTCCCTGGTGCCATGGCCTCCCCTTCAGACTCCCGTTCCAGGAAGGGGCTCTGCCCTTCTCCCCGGGAGAAGTCCACCTTCTCTTGCTTGAATGACCCTGGGAAGAGTCTCACCCGAGCCTGATGGGCCATCAGTTAGAGTTTCTCCTGCCCTCTCCACACTCCCAAGTCTTCCCAACCTTATGAGGGGCTATAACTCTGCACCATGTTCCAGTGTGTGTGTTTTTAACACACTAAGCAATGCTCTGGACACAGTTAGATGTCCTTTATAATTCAACTCAATGGTGACACCATCTACCCAGAGGTGGCATCGGAGCCCACAGGTTAAGGGCTCGGTCCTGCAACCTGCCCTCCGCCACTTCAGACACCAATCCCAAGTCCAGAGTGTTTCTGACTAGTCAGCCGCAGACCAGAGGTTCCAATGACTCCCTCTTTGGCTTTGACTAATTTGCTAGAGCCGCTCATAGAACTCCAAGAAACGTTTTACTTACTCAGTCACTGGTTTATTATGAAAGGATATCACTCAGGAACAGACAGATGGAAGAGAGCCTTAGGATGCGGTATGGGAAAGGGTAAGGAATCTCTGTGCCATTTCCAGGGGTGCCACGCTCCCTGAATTTCCGTGTGTTCGTCAACCCAGAAGCTCTCAGATCCCATATTTCTGGATTTGTATGGAGTCTTCAGTACATAGTCATGATTGATTGAATCATTGTCCCTTGGTGACTGATTCGATCTCTAGCCCCTCTTTCTTCCTCAAAGGTCCAGGAGGGACTGAAAGGTCCAAACCTCTAATTACACAGTTGGGTACCCTGGCACCCAGCTCCCATTCTTAGGTTACCTGGGTGCTTTCCAAAATTCATTAACATAACAAAAGGCATCTTAATTACTTTCCTCACTTAAGAAATTCCAACGGTTTTAGGAGCTCTGTGCCAGAAATGGGAACAAAGATCAAATCCATATATCTTATTATAGATCACAATATCACAGATGCATAAGCACTTTAAATAGTAACATTTTAGAGCTTGGCTTCTGTAGTTGCTTAAAAGTCTTGGGTCACAGAGTTGCTCATCAGAGGAGGCTGAAAAATGAAGCCCTTTGGGTTTGTCCCAGCTCTTTCAGACAGCTCCTCACCACACCCTCCCCAACACAACTGCTTTTTAAAAAAAAATCCTAACCCTTTACATCATCTCTCCCATCCCTTGCTTACACACTCACCTCACAGGCACATAAATGGCTATATATAGGCCAAGCATTGCTCCATAGATGGTGTTTTAAATTCTAAGCAATTTAAACCACTTGGAGAAGGATGCTGGGTTGCTATTAGAATCTAGCGGGTACCCAGAGATAGATGATCTGCTCTTCTTTCTGGGGTGCCAAGGAAGTGCTCCCTGCCAAGCTGTGTTGGGCAGAAAGGAATAGGATGGGGGAGGGGACTATATTTGCCCAGGGGCCCTATTATGTTGACCTGTAGGATTGAAGGGGCATTTTATTTATTTATTTATTTATTTACTTACTTACTTACTTACTTACTTATTTTGTTACTTATTTATTTATCTGAAGCGCAGTCAGTTTTACAATGTTGGGTCAATTTCTGATGTACAGCATAAGTTTCAGTCATATATACACATGCATATATTCCTTTCATATTGTTTTTCATTATAGGTTACTATAAGATTTTGAATATAGTTCCCTGTGCTATACAGATGAAACTTAGTGTTTATTTTATATATAGTAGCTAGTATCTGCAAATCTCAAACTCCCAATTTATCCCTTCCCACCTCCTTTTTCCCCTGGTAACCACAAGTCAGTTTACCATGTCTGTGAGTCTGTTTCTGTTTTGTAAATAAGTTTATTTTATGTCCTTTTTTTTTTCAGATACCACATAAGAGTGATATCACATGGTATTTTTCTTTCTCTTTCTGGCTTACTTCATTTAGCATGATGATCTCCAGGTCCATCCATGTTGCTGCAAATGACATTATTTTGTTCTTTTTATGGCTGAGTAGTATTCCATTGTATAAATATACCACTACTTCTTTATCCAGTCATTTGTTGTTGGACGTTTGGGTTGTTTCCATGTCTTAACTATTGTAAATATTGCTGCTATGAACACTAGGGTGCATGTATCTTTTTGAATTAGAGTTTCCTATGAATATATGCCCAGGAATGGGATTGCTGGATCATATGGTAAGTCTATTTTTAGCTTTTTGAGGATGAAGGAGCATTTTATTAAGCAATGTTCACATGCTTAGCTTCAATCAGTGCCTTCACAGTGCACCGATTTCATGGGCTTGAGATCATGAGTATGAACTTTGAACCGCAACATGCTACGTGTGAAGGAGAAAGATTTAAATTCAGCCAAGCAGGGGTGAAATTTCCTTCATGCAAAGACAAATAAAGAGAACTGAGGCTGGGTCCCATTTTCACTTCAGGAGTTTTGCTCTCCAGAATCTGACCAACTTGGAGGGTCGGGCAGGCAGAAGTCTAATGGGTTCTACTTGGAGGAAGCACCTCTCCAGCCTCCCCAAGGCACCAGGAAGTTGTTGCAAGCTGTAACTTCAGAGTCAGGAAAGTTGGGGTTCACACCAGCCCCCTTCACTTCTTAGCTGTCTTAGGGCATGCTTCTTAGT